TGAATTCACAATCTGCGGAATTCTACGAGAAATGGCGGCAAGGCGCAATAAATGAAAACGGGGCCTCGTTTTGTTCTGGAAATGTTGAAGAGATGTGAATAAGGGACGCGCATAAAATACATTTTTGGGTTGCTATCCAAAATAGCGGAAGGTCAACTTGGCACGACGTCAAGCTACATTCAGGAGAATGAAAGTTCGTAGGTAGCGTGGTCAGAAGTAGACGTGTATGTGCCAGCTGACCTGCCTGCGAAAAGGAAAGGGGAAGAAACCGTCAAACACGCTTCAAATGAGGCCGTATTTGTGCGAGAGATGAAGAATTGATGTGGATATTAGGCGAAAGCCAGAAAAAACAGCGAGAGAGTATGCAAACAAGCAAGACAGCAGATAAGACATCTATCAACGCGGGTGGAGCCACTGACTCGAGCAATCGTCCGCTGGGCGGAGTCACTTGAGCAATTTTGTGCTTTACCGCCGCTACCTTACCACTTTCTGACATGAAACTTGTAGAGGATTAATCATTGCGGCCCCCACTACCTCGTCTAAGAACAGCTTACAATTAGATGACTATACGTGGTCGTGGACTCTGCCCTTAGAACATCAACCGACTGCTTACCTCAATGATTCCCTTCCTATACATACGGAAACAACCGTACTTCTTGAATTGTGCCATAGCCGCATTCAACAACGAAATAACTCCTTCATAGTTTACAACCAGTCGATGCTAAACAGCGATCTTGAGGAACAACAGATGAGATATTAGTTTAACCACAATGACATGAAGTATTAGATGTTCTCAATCTACCCGAAACAGCTGAAAGAGATCTCACCAGGATAGCAGTAACAGCGTCTTCTTCCACGCTAGGCGGGGCAAGCCCATCATAGCCTATTCTCCAAGGACGTTGACCAAAGAAAATCTGGAAAGCTCAAGCAGATCAATCCTTTGGACAGATGTACACAACAGACAAGAAACCAACGGCTATACAGCATAAAAAGAGTAAATGAAACATAACTCACAGTATTCTGACTGTTGGCCATTGGATCAGGACTTGGATAGGGTTTTGTTAGCGGACTACCTGAACCCCGAGAGAAATTATCGAAAGCCTACAATACTACAGGAAACATTGGAATTTTCAGCGCCGTTCGGCTTAAAGGGGCATTTTTGATTCCTATTGGTCACAACCTGTGCCCACTTGCAAACCTCTGAATTCCTGCACAGCTATCATAGCAGTACCCTCTTTACACCTGACAATAATCTACAGGTGTCGCCAAGGAAAGACATGTGATTCAAGCGGAACTAAAAAACCTGTAGTGAAAAATGTCCCTCTCAAGCCGATTAGCGCCGATTTTTCTATAGAAAAGAGATAAGTGGCCGATGTTACACTCACTCTTTTTTAGTGCCAATATGTTTTTGTTGACAGCCGAATAAAGAGATGCAGCCAAGTCGAGATGTGTACCTGGGTTCAAAGTGGCCAACGCTGTCAAACCATTAACGACAGCTTGCTCGAAAAGCTGGGCAAAATGCCAACACTGAAAGCGATAAGGCTTACTATTACTCAACTACTTATACTTACTTATATTATTTATTATATAACGCAGTCGGATCGCCCGCTAAGCCGAGCTCTCTCTCCTTCATTTTTAGATGGCTTGGGGCGCACTCATGAATGTGGGCAGACAAAATTATTTTCATGACACCACTCTTGGCTGCTCATAATGCGGCATGGTCGAATCGGTTAATAGATGGATCAACCCACGGGCGAGCCCACATCCAGCTGCCACGCGAGCAGCTTGTGCGATGGCCCGGAATGTACGAAATAACTGTCTTAGATAGGGTGGGGATTATTAACGCCCCCCCCCTCTAGAAAGTAGAGGGAGGCCCGCCTATCACCGGTACCCGCCCTCCCCTCTGCTTCCTTCACTTGCAAATGCTCAGGTCGGGCTGAGCACGTGTAGAGGAAGAAAGCAGAGGGGAAGGGAGCCCTTGGCATCCCCCTCCCTCGGCTCCACCCCACCCTGCCTCCGGCATGAGCACATGTCCAGCTGCCACGGCAGCAGCTCGTGCAATGGCTCGGAGTGTACCGAATGATTGTCTTATATAGTGGAGGCTGTTATCAAATCAAAACATTGGATTGATACATCTGCACCAATCGATTTCCGATTTGCTTAGCGGTCGTTCTTCCTTCCACTAATTCGAACCCGTGAAGCATTTTGCGGACGGACAAACATACATACTTACATACATACATACAGACCGACAAACCGACATACAAAGTTTCTGCTTTATAGAATGTAAGGATATCAAAAGGAACAAGCCCACCCACCTGTTTCGCATTCCACAACTGCAACTCGATGTTCGCCAGTTGAGGTGTCGGATAGACGCCGGTTGGACCGGCAAAGAACACCGCTTGATGCCGACGCATTTGATTAATCGCCTCTACGGCCATATTATGCAGGAAACACAATTCACAAATCTAAAACTGCTTCTAACCTCATGAATTAGCAGAAAGGGCTCTGGGAGAAAGTGGGTGGGGAGGGCAGACTTCGGCGAGACTAAGCCATGTCTGCTCGCCTGGATACTGCTTGGTGGGGAAAGATTGAGGTCACTAGTGCGCTATATCGTTCGTAACCACACGGCCGGAGGTGACATGGTTCGGTTTCACTGCTCTTTTACTCCATAGCATTAGCTTTACATACCGTGCTCAGATTAGCAAGGGCGCTTACTGTAGCTCGAAGTGGTCACGTGTCGTC